TTGACACGTGATGTGCTTAATGCAAGTTAATTAGCTGAACATATTTTCATGTTGAGGATTCAGCTTCAAAATAAAGGACTGGACTAACTAACTTTCACCCTCCTTCCAAAATTAGCTTATACAAAACTAAAACTATTGTAGAAAACAGTGTCAATGTACACTGTGTAAAGCTTTTGTACATGTAGTGAAACATTAATTTCCACTCGTATATTTCATGCTACTGTACTTCCTTCTTTCTACTTAATTGCAACAAAATTTAATATTTGCAATATTGGTTACTCATATTTATCCGGAGCTATTCATATCTGTTCTTATATCTCTTTCTGTTGTCTTCCTTAGCACAAAATGCAATCCAGAAAACTTCATGAGGGCAAGGATAAGGATTGTTTTGTTTAAGAAGTTTTCTTTAGTACCATAAGCATACAGTGCCTTCTATGTAATAATAAGATTCACATCTTATGCATCTAATGTAGAATTTGTAATCAAAATAGTGGATAAATAAAAATAGTATCTACTCTGTACTCTTCTTATCCAATCCAGGCCAGTCTGAAGTCTTTCAGTAAAAATCAAGTCAATCAATCTTGACCAACCATATGCTAGTTTCCTGAGGTTAATGGAATACAATTTATACAGCCAAGAATGGAACCACATCTTACTGAAATACCCATTACAAACTAATTGGAATCAGGTATACAAAATGTTTTGCACAAGTAATATATTACAAGTTGGATTTAATCATATTGAACTCAAACCTAGGTTCAGATCCTACTTTAATACTTTGGTTTCTATATGGACTTTAATTTACATGTTCCTATTTTAGATGACATCAGGAAACTGTTTTGAAAAACCATAAAATGTTTGCAGAAACTGAGAAACATGTTAGATCACATATGGTCTGAGACCGTTGTGTCTGAACATGGCTTACATAGCAATTGTTCAGCTTCTCTGCATACAGAATCTATGTATGAAGAAAGAAAGAAAGAAAGATGATAGATCTGTGCATTTCTGCTCATTTCTGTGAAGAATCAGATTATTCTTTAAAATGTGCCTAAATCAATACTTCAGAAACTCTAAGAGATTCCTGAAAGTGTTTTAAATATTAGTGCATAATTAGCAGACATCTACTTGTCAAAATCCTTTACTGTATATTCTTCTAGGAGGCTACCTGGTATATGTAAATTACTACAACTGTAAATTAATTCTCATGCAAGGGAAAGTCACTTTCATAAAAGTCCTGGTTATTTCAGGGATACATTCATGCTTTAAATACCAGAGTATATTAGCTCAGTTCAGTTGTTAAAATCACAGAATGTTTAAAGCACAAAGAAGACACTGCAAAAAAGAGCACCAATGCGTCAAGATTGAACATAGGGAGAATCCTCCTCTACTTCCAGCTTCAACATTTTCATCTGGCTACATATAATATATTGAAAGGTGTATGCACAAGCTCTGTCTGCAATGTATAACTTTGTGGTACCAAAACATTAATTATCTATTTGTAATGTTTTCAGCAAAAGGATATAAATTATAGACATAGAACATATACAGCTTAGATCAAAACATGGAAGAATAAGTCAAAAAGGCATTATTTCTCTATGGTTAGAATAATGTCCCTTTTGGATAACTATATCATTACATTTGAATCATTTTGCAGAGCTCAAGAATTGATGGTAAGAGATGGTACTTAGAAACAAACCATTAATGGTGTTCAAAATGAAATAAGCCTTTAAACAATACTATTTCAAGATTTATACTGAAACAGCAAGAGCTCCAGCATTGCTCAGGAACAGTAAGTTTTAGTATCTACTAGACAACTTGTAACCTGTTGGGTCATTGTTGTAGAGATATCTCTTTACCTAAATCAGTGGTAGTCAACCTGGTCCCTACTGCCCACTAGTGGGCGTTCCAGCTTTCATGGTGGGCGGTAGGGGTTTGCTGTAACTCTGCCTTATAAATTTTATAAAGTAAAGTTACTTCCCTACTTTATAAATCACCATTACTGTGGAACTGGTGGGCGGTTAGAAAATTTTACTACTAACAGAGATACAAAAGTGGGCGATAGGTATAAAAAGGTTGACTACCCCTGACCTAAATAAACAAATAGAATGACCACAGCGGGCAAAAAAATCAATGGGAGCAGGAGTGGCTTCCAGGAATGACTTCCAGGTTCCAATCTACTCCCTACTGACCTTCCTTCCTTCCTTTCACCCATCCACCCATCCATCCAGTTTAAGCTTTGTACCAGCTTCCTCACCGACTTAATAAAAAATAATACATGCCACATGGATTGAGAAGTGTGCATGAGGGTGTGTGAAAGGTTCAGCCTGGGATGGGAAGAGCACATAAAGTGTGGTGAAGGTCAGGAAGGGTGTGCAAGGATGCATAACAGATATAGCGTGAGTTTTGAAGGCCCATAGGAATACAACATGGGTCTGGAAGGGTGGACTGGGATGAGTGAAAGGTGCCACACAGATTGAGGAGAAAGTGCAAGGCTGTAGCATGGGTGGAAAAGAGTGCAAGAACTGTGCAAGAGCTGCAATGTGAATCAAGAAGGGCAAGTGGAAATGTGCAAACATGCAAAAAGGGTGCACAGAAGTGCAGAAAATGTCCGGAAGGGTGCTCTGGTATGAACAAATGAATGGGGAGGCCCAAGTACAGAGGAACTGGGGCGGTTGCAGGTATGAGGGAGCCCTGTGGCTTCCCCATTGACATCACTCTGAGGAAACTTTGTACAAGTAAAGATTTTGTTCCAAGGGAGGATGGCATGGAACATAGGCAATTGCAATTAAGTTCACGCTTCCAGCAGGATTCACTATTGAAATGTGGGAAGCTGTCAGGAAATGTTTAAAATGTCTATCAAGTAACCGCAGCTGAAGCAGCCACCTCTCCAGACTTCATTCCTAAGGAAATACTGGGTCCCGCGCATTCTGAAACGTAGTCTATTTGAGGTAACCACCATTTGGTAATAAAATGCACCGTCTGATGCACCGTTTTGCCCAATTGAACATTATAATCAGACAGTTTTAGTAAAATATGGAAAGATCAATTTTTTAAAAATCCACCTTTGATTTTCTTAAAACAAGTGCTATAGTCATATGTCACCTTTAGTTAAGAATGGATTACATTGTGCTGTTGGTTAGTTACGATTACTTGAAATATGATTAAGGGCTCTGAGACTAGTTACTACTATCCTTTCATCTTTTTGAATTGCTCTGATTAAGTGAATAAAATAGGAAACTACATCTGCAACCCGTATCTACTTTCTTAGAAATAAGATTTATTGAACCCAGTGGGATTTGCATGCTATGCATGCCTTAGTTTTCACTGTTATTATCTTCAGCAGTCACTTTTAATTACTTCATAAAAAGTAGAAATTAGGAATTCCACCTATATTTGCCTTGCCATACAAATCAAACCCACCCTATATTCAATCCAGCATTTTTAATTTTATTTGGAATGGGCCCTTTTAACAAATGAAGGATTTAATTAAAAATAACCCTTCTAGATCAACATGATAGGAACCAGTTCTGTGTTACAATTTAATGAGCAATATCCAAAGAAACAGGGAAACATTACTATACAGCAGTGGTTCTCAACCTGTGGGTCAGGACGCTCTTTTGGGGTCGAATGATCCTTTCACAGGGGTTGCCTAAGACCATCGGAAAACACATATTTTCGATGGTCTTTAGGAACCGAGACACCAAGTTTATGGTTGGGGGTAACCACAACATGAGGAACTGTATTAAAGGATCGCGGCATTGGGAAGGTTGAGAACCACTGCTATACAGAATACACTAAAGCAGAGTTTCTCAGCCTTGACTGGGGAATTCTGGGAGTTGTAGTCCATCTGTTTCAAAGTTGCCAAGGTTGAGAAATGCTGCACTAAATTATTTCTCTTCCCAATCACCCTTTGGGACTCATATTTTGTCTAGTTAAAGGTAAGTACATTTTTTCCATTAGTCAAAGCATTTATATTGTCTTCTCTGTGTGGCAGGGTCACAATTAATCTAACAACACGATAAAGTAATCTACTACAGAGTGGACTTTCACAGTATATTCTCATTTCTGAATGTAGACTTAAACTTGCAGTAGGAATTCAAGAAATTAAACATGAAGTACATCTTTTTTTTTTAAATAGTGACTGCTCAAGGATTTTAGCAGAGTCTGAAAATGAACTGCAACACTTGAACAGCACACCCCAAAATTATCAATCCCAACCTCGGGATGAAAGAAAGGCTCTAAAAAGGATTTAATGCCCATGATTCAGGGAAAACAAACACTTAGCAACGCTACCAGTATTGTTCTTGGTATACACCCCACTAGTAAAGACAGATGTACTTCTAGATAAGGCTACACAAGCCTTTGGTTCTTTCTTTACAAACACCCTGTTTGTACTGAAATCAAAGGGTGACTTTGCCTCATTTCAATTCCTCTCCTTAAACCGCAAGCCTCGATCCACAGGAAGGATTCAAAAGAGCCTCTTGCTCCGGGCTTGACAACACGAGGATGGATTGCTAATTCTCCCAGATTAAGGCAAATGCCCAGGAGTAGTTTTAAACACGAGGTTGCCCGACACCCGCCTCCCCTTCCTTCCATCTTAATCGTGTTCAAATCTCGGAGACCGCCTTTGAACGAAGTCTGCAGTGTTTGGGGCAAGGTTTTTCTTTCTTTTTCTTTTCCAAAAGTGGTTTGCCATTGCCTCCCTCCTGGGGCTGAGAGAAAGTCAGGCGGCAGGCAACAGGTTTCCTCGCCCAAAACCTTTGGAGAATGAATCACCCCCTGGACTTTTGCGCAAGAAGGAGGAAGCCGAAGAAGCCGGAAAGTAATTTTTTTGGGGGGGAAAGGAGAGAGCACCGCTCCCTTCCCGCGGATCCCGCCTTTGAAAGCAACGCAGCGAAAGCGCGCCCTCCCCGGTTATGGGGCAGTTTCCTCCTCCTCCTCCTCCTCCTCCTCCGGGCAGTCGGAATCTCCCCGGCGGCAGCGAAACCTCGCTTACTCACACACACAGAGCTCCACCACGTAGGCGTAGTAGGACCAGGCCACGACCAGGGCGATGAAGACCACGGGCACCCACGCCAGCACCCTCTGGCAGCATTTGAGGACGTGCGACGGCGCCATCTTCCCCGCCGCTGAGCTGCCGCTGCCGCCCGCAGGAGCCATCGGTGCCGCAGCCGCTCCCGCCGCCGCTTCTCCGCTCGCCGCTGCGGCGATGCCTCCCTCCGGCCCCCGCCCTTTCCTTGCCTTACGCTAAGGGGGCAGGGCCTGGACGCGCCTGCCTTGCGCAGCGACTTCCCGAGGACGGAGGAGGAAGCGCGGCGAACCAGCGGCTAAGGCTGCGGGACTTGGGGCTGGGTGTGTGTGTGTGTGTGTGTGTGCGGGGCTTCTAGCCGCCTCGCCCCGCCGGCTTGACCGGAGCTCCGCTTTTTCCCCCTGCCGCCCGGCCGTTCTTGTCACGTCCAGCCAAATCACCGCAAGCAGCCCTGCCCTCGCGGCTGAAGGAAAGAGGCGGCTCCTCTCTGCGCGGTGCCTGGCCGGTCGCGGCGGGTAGTTCACACGTTCTCGGACGCCATTCCCTTGGGGGATTGGCCGAAGGATGGGATCCCTAAGAGCTGGGATCGCTTTCTTCTTCTCCTCCTCTCTTACTCGACCAGTGGTTCAATTCCCGCCCGGGAGAAAACCGCCCTGAGGGATTTGTTAGCGCCTTCCTCGAAAGGGTGTTTGTGTTCCTAGACAGCCGAGCTTCAGTAGTTCGGGGTAAAAGTCACAGGCAGGCAGAGTGGAAGGTCGAACTTGGCTGATCCCTGGAGCTAAACTGACTTTAGGTGACCAAATAGATCACATTCGAATAATAAAGTCTTGTCAATCCCGGGGGGTACATTGGGAATTGTAGGGCGTTAGGCTAGACTGGGCTGTCAAAGGAAGAACAACAACAACAACAACAACAAATCAAAGGCAAGGTGTTCGGGGACGTTGCGAGATGGCCATTTTGCTGTCTACCTTGATTTGTGAACGTGGGAAAAGGGCGAGGTCTCAGCGGGTGGCGACGCCTAGTTGGGCATGACTTATCTTGACAGTTCAGTAGGATCAGATCTGTTTGGGTGATACTCAAATAGGAGAACCTAGGGTTGCAAGCTCCTTGTAGGAAATGGTGGGGTGTGAGGGAATCTGCTTTTCATCCATGAACCCCACAGAGCCGCATAAATAGTGTTACCTCCCCTCCCAATTTTTTGTGTGAAGTTGCCAAGAAAACTTATTTGGCTACTTCATGAAGTTGCCAGGAGTTAGGTTTAGGGTGGTGCCAGTTTCCCTTTATGAAGGCAGAATGGGTGTGACAGAAACATGTCAATGAATCATTTTCTCAAACCTGGACTTCTCAAAAGTGCTGGTAGCCAGTCCTACTCTTAGGGTAGAGTGAAGCATTTGGAGGACAGTGCTGGTTTGGAAACCAAGCTAGTTCTGTGAGTGTTTTGTCTTGTGCTTCTGCAGTCACACTTGGTCAGAAGGTACAGAGGAAGTTATGCCATCCAAACATAACAATAGTCCAGCCATCTCATCCGCTGCCTTTCAACTGGTACATCAGTCAGCTACTGTATGTGAAAGCAAAGGCATTTTGGTTTCGCAACACATGAAACATTTAATTCATCTGTATGAACTACAAAGATGTAATTAAGCTTCATCTTCATAATTAACCCAAGAATAAGATGTAGAAGATCATTCCACATAGACATCTACTGATTAAAGTCTATAACATTTGTGAATGATGGATCATGCAACTCTGTATTATATATAGTGTGTTAGGCCTGATATCAAAATAAATGTTGCTTCTCACTGCAACTGATAACTGCATCCTATAAAATTTAAATACAAAACAACCCATTTTGTAGGGCTTAGAACCTGAGACAAAGTGGTGATCCAAGCAACTATGGCCACTGCTGTTTAAACTACTAAATCAATGACTTACATTACCTAAGCAGGTATCACATTCAAATAATAAAGTTTGTACTGTTTTGTAGTGCGTCAATTCTCCTCCCCACCCCTTTTCTTTCAGTAAAGGCATCAAGATAAATACTTCCAATTTAACCTTTTGAATTACATTAGTAAAAGTCTTATTTTATTATTGCTATGGTAAATGTTATATTGGTTGCAAGTAGTTATGCTAATGTTTTAAATTATTTTCATATTTATTTAGAACTGGAAGCCTTGTATAGTTTATTTGGAAGGTAACACAGTATTGTTCATAATCAGAAAACTTTTAAAAAAAACTTCATACAGTGTCAAGGATATTCTTGTGCAGTTTTTCAATCTTATTAACTTTTAAGATACGTGGACTTCCACTGCCAGGATTTGTCAAGTCGATTCTGTGCATTCCTCTAATCAAAACTTTTTTTTACCAGCACTTAAGGTGCACTGAGGCTAACTGCTATAGATCATCATCCCACTCCATCTCTCACTTCTTGTTGTGTTTATTTAGCCAGGCTAAATTTGGTCTATTAAATTCTCAATACATTTGTTCAATTCAAGTAAAGGATGTGAGTATAGTCACTCTTTACTGAGCTTACATCTCAGACATCTTTCCAGAAATATTCATTTATTGTTATTTTCTTTTGGCATACTCACCTGCAATGCTATTATTGAAGAATGAGACAAGCTCCTCTTATAAAATGTGATTGAGCAAGATCAGTTGGGTGATGTTTTAGCAGATTGAATTAGTGGAAATTTACAACCTGGTGAAATACCATAGTATTTTTAGGAGCTGTATAAAGAGTGTCTACTTTCTCAGTATGTGGTTACCCTATAATCTTGGTCAACATTTTCATCTTGCAAAGTAGGTATGTGCTATGCTTTGTGGTTATACACATTACATATGTTGACATCTTCAACAAGCTGTATCTTTTCCTGGGCTTGTGCAATAGCTTTAGGATCCGGGGAAAATATACATGCTTGAGCCAAGGACCTGCAATATCATTATCCATGTCTCCTTCTGAGCATCTTTTCATCAACCTAAGAAACAGCGACATTCAAGGATCCTAAAATATATTCATATACAAAATCCCATTGTAAGCATGGTATAGGTGTGCTTAAAAGCGCATTGCTTTGGTTAAAGTTGTTATATCATCACAAGAATCCAAAAAGACAAGCCCCAAAGGAGAGAAAATTAAGACCCATTTAACAATCCAAAGGAATTTAGGATTTCAGTTTCTATTGATAAACTATTTATATATAAAACTAATATTATATTATATTGAACTGCATATTTATATGTGCCTTTGATCGGTGCCTAAAGGGTAGAATTATGAAAGTAATTTAGCGGTTATCTCATTATTTTAGAAATTGTCAATTTAATTTTTGCAAATCTGAATTAAGAAGGAAGGGAAGATAAAACACAAGGCTCCCCCTTGTGGGAGTTTTTTTATTTATTTTCAAATATAGACATATATTTAAGATTTGCTTGCATAAAAAGCAAGCAGAGGAAAAGAACACTGTGCGTCTGGTCCTTGAAACAGTGTCATTGTCAAAACGTATGTAATACATACTGAGTATGTATTCTCAGTAGTGGCTTTGCCTTTGGATGAGTCTTTCTTTTGATACACAGCATGTCTTTTATTCTCTAGGCATTTAGGATGATGGTTAATATCTGGATCTTCACCCTCAGCCTTTGGGCCAGAATGGCGGCCTCAGCTCCCATTTTCTAGAGGTATAGTATTTCAGCCATGTTTGCCATTGTCTGCCTTTTTATACGTTTTATTATATAAAAATACTATTTATACTTCCTTACACTCGCCAATCCCAGCTGAGTTATCTGGTAATGATATTGTTATTGATATTGTTTGATATTGTTAGGTTAATTTTATCTTCCAAATTGTCTTTTCCATGCAGTCGATGAAAATAAAGATTTTGGTTGCTTTTTCAGTTATAAATCAGTGAAAACAATAGCAGGGCACTTAACTTCTGAAGAAGAAAGTTTTGTGAATCTGTCTGCCAGATAACAAAAGAGCTAGTGAAATATTGACAAGATTCAGTAAAGACATACATCAAAACAATTACAATAAACTATGAAAGAAACGTATCTCAGTATTTTTGAGTTCCCTCATTTCCCCTCTGCCTACTCTACTTTTCAACTTTTGTCTTGCTGTCAGTCAAAATCTAGACCAAAATTTCTAGTATAGGGATCTAATGGGTTCTCTCCACCCTCAGCTTTTTACTCGCATTAATGCACAATATAAAAAAGATTTGTGCTTACCATGAGTTATTTATGAAGTCACTGTGTCTCTACAGTTGCATTACGTAGTGCTGAATTCAATGAAATACTATTTAAATGTACCTGGAAGCTTATGAGGGAAGACATATTCTTGGCATCTGTTGTTGATTTTCAAGTATTGACTGTGGAAAAGAATTGTTTTCCCAACTATGCCTAGTATATTAGCTCAGTCTGTTCCTAGAAAATAAAAGCCTGATGTCTTCTGTCCAAGTTTTAATAATATTTTTTCCCAGCTTGATGCCAGATTCAAATAGGTTGAAGTACAAATCCTAGCATGAGTCACACTGACTGAAAATTATGAGGGCTGTAACTGAAGATGCATGCAAATGACCAGCGTCACCAACTCTTCTATGTAGATGTTGCAGATACTTTAACTCAGGAGGGTCAAACTCAAGGCCTGTGGGATGGTTAAAACTGGCAAACGGGGCCGGCCTAGAAATAGCAACGGACCAGTCCGCAGTGCCTCTGGCAACCAACATGGGGCACAGGGGGCTGCATGCGGCCCCCCATGCCTCATTTTTTGGCCTGGACGACCTGCAGCACAGTCGGCCAAGATGGGGAATGGGGAGCCATGTGTGGTCCCCCGTGCCTCATTTTTTATGATAGGGTGCTGCAGGAGGCATTTGTCCCATCCCCCTGTGCCCCCGGCCGGCCACTGGAGAACTACAGTGCTGATCCAGCCCTTGAAGAAATCCAGTTTGACACCCATACTTTAGATCAGTGTTTCTGAACCTTGGCAACTTGAAGATGTCTGGACTTCAATTCCCAGAATTCCCCAGCCAGCGAATGCTGGGAGTTGAAGTCCAGACATCTTCAAGTAGCCAAGGTTCAGAAACACTGCTTTAGATGCTGCAGCCCGTCAGCATCTAGGCTTCCACATCCAGGCTTCCAGCTGGAATTGATCTAGGTGAGAATGTTTTCCCAGGTCTCAATAGAAGATCTGGACAGAATTCTATGTACTGGTTTGGATTCGTATTCTGAATATTCCATGTTCTCTCTTCTCCATGTTCTATTACTTATATATCTGCCAAGGAAAACACCATGAATAGAAAGTTTATTAGATGGTAGCTAAGTCTAGTGCTTTTGTAGTACTGTACTACATAGAGCATAACAAGTGCTCAAATAATGACCGTAATGGAGCCTGCCTGTCATGGTTGTAAGTTGTGATCGCTGAATTTTTTAAAAATTTCTTCTTTTACACTTCTTTTACAGAGGCTATTAAGCAAACATTATGGTTGTTAAGCGAACCAATGCTGGGCTACAAGTGTGGCTTTGCCAAAAACTGAAAGTGCATCATGAAATGTAGTCATGTGACTGTGGGATGTGGTAAATGATGTTAAATATGGCCTGGTTTCCAAGCACCTCAAGGTTTGTCACATGACTGTGTGGAGGGGCGATGGTCGGAACTTAGAATCTGGGTCATATGGAGCCCATCAGTATGTCTGCTGTAAATTTGAATAGTCGCTAAGTGACTAGTCATAAGTCAAGGAGAATCTGTAATAATATCTTCGTATTTACATTGAGAAATTAATATTAGGAACAATAACCATAATTGATACTGTTAATCAGAAAACTTGCAATTTCCTGCTTATTCAAACCATAAACCTGTGTGTTAATATTACACTGCTATTGAAGAATTTCAAGATAAACTAATATTGTAAATATTGTTTGGATTTTCAGATTTAGACATTGCTGAAACTGTAGTAATGCTACTGGTGAGATTGATCATGTAAGTATATATACTGTACCACTGTCTTGCAGAAATGGCTCTACTGTAACATATTACATTTGATCTTACCAAATAAAGGAAGAAGCAATGTTGTAGATAATGTGTGTATGTACATAGAGAAATAAGGGGATTAAAAAAAAACCTGTACCACATGTTTAGGCAGACAA